TCTCTGGAGATTAAAGATTAAGACGGAGAAGGGGGGTGGTGGGAAAAAGGCTGGGACAAAGAAAGAGAAAGTAACTGCTGGTGTTAATCTGACATTTCTTTACTGTAAATTGCCCCTACAGTAACTGTGGTATACAGATGGTGCAGTAGATCAGATTGAGCCACACTGAAACAAGATAGATATGTTCCAGACTTGAAGCTTGATACGATCTATATGTCCTCAACCAGGAACACTGGCCAGAAATAGACAATTCATTTTCCTCCTTTCAGCTAATGTGCCCCTCGCAGTAGAGAAAACAGTCACAGTGAACAAACACTGCCACGACACCTTGTTCATGTTGTCAGACATCAGTCTCCCATGTTTGATGGATGGCTATTGATACCCATGCAGAAGGAGTCTGCACAGAACCAGAAGTGCTCATTAACTGCAACGGGTTTCCTTTGATTACAGCGACCTCTAGTGGCTGCAAGGGTTCAGAATGATTCCTCGCTCTTTAATCACATCTGGATACATGTAGTACAGCTCAACAAGCACATCTGTAACTCTTAAGACTTGGCACTGTGAGATCAATTTGCAGATATAAGCTGCGACATGAGGAAAAAATGCTAACAAAAAGAGCATAATTAATTCATATAACTTTGACACACTGGGCCCATTAAAACGTGTTGAGTTGGGGATATTTAAAGGGGCAGTTCACCCAAGATACAACAAACATATTTTCTCACTTACATCTAGTTTAATGCACATAGTTTCATCTTACAACATTTTGAGATAATAGTATATGACATTTGTGGAGTCACCCTAAAATAATTATAAGTGGAACCGTGTTGGTCCTGCTTAAAGCATTTACAGTCAACAGCTGAGTGACTTTCCATAAACATCATCCGGGTTACTCCGAATAATCCTGTGAGCGTTTAATAAGAACCATATATGGTTTTGAGAAAACTCATCAAAACCAAGCAGCAGCTCTAATATTTATAGCAACATAATAAACAGGGGAATATAAGTTATGGTGATATTTTTAAAGTAACATGCTTATTTGAAAACGTGACATAACTGCTCCACCGATCATTTGGTTGTTAATGCAAAACCTCACCTCAGTAAGTTTGTAACTTGCTGCAAGTCGGTTTGTTTATGCAGAAGTTTATACAGAAAGACGCACGCTACAACAGTTGCAATGGGAATGGTACACATAAAAATGGTTGCCACTGACCATACTGCTATGATGGTTCGATTAGGAATGTATGTTCTATTCTCTCTATTTCTGTGATTGGAGCTATATTTCTACAGAAAAACAGGCCGAGTTCCAATGTCCCACTAAGCCCTAAATCCTCACGGACATTAACTGATGTCATTGCTTGTGAACTGTAAAGTTTGAGGCTGATATGTCAGGCTCCATGTAGTCTGATGATCAGGAGTGTTTGACGCTCCCATTTGGAAGAAAAAGTGTCTCCTGCTCTTCAGCCAAATTAGTTCTGTATATTTGTCAAGGAAAAATGTCGTCCTGCCAACTCCTTCCATGTCTTTCTTTCTTTTTATCTTTGTTTACTACTTCACAGTGCTATGCATTGTGGGATACTCCCTTGAACAAAGTCTACAGAGTTGTGGACGTGATGCAAATGTTTGTAAAGTACTCAAAACGCCAACCAGTGAGCCGTCAAACACTTGGTCTTGAGCCCTTGTGGTCTGTGAGGAGACACTGAACCAGATCACCATAATCCCTCAGAAAACTGTTGACAGTGTTTTCTGTGGATAAATCAGAGTAACTTTCTGGAAAGGAAGGAAGCTATTGAATTAGATATTGTGAGCAACCCCAAACTACACTAAGGCCAATTGCATCCCTTGCCCCTACCACTTAGCCCTTACCCCTTCATTTTGCGCATTCAATCCAAGGGGTAGGGTGTCCCCATTCTTGTTGGAATAGAGGGTAGGGCGACCTGTCAGGGCTACATGGCCCTCCAAAGGGAGATTTGTCAGAGGTACATTTCAGCTGAACTTTACGAGAAATCATCTGCAAGATGGCTGAACAAGCAACAAAAGAAACCCACAAATGTATTTTCTTTGTTGATAAAGATTTGAAAAATTACAATAACCATCATATTATCTTCAATTAATGACTCAGTTTAATGACGTTTGAATGCATTATGATCCTTTTTATATGACAAACAAAACAAATGAATTGCTAGTATGCTGATGTCTTGGTAACTAACTAGATAGCTAACTAACATTACATTGTTATTGCTGATTTGTGCTTGATAGTTTTGCATTTTGTCATATTTCTGTGTGGCATTCCCCTCCCTAATTGATAGCAACTAAAGTCCTGCAGTGAAGTTGCTGCAGTTGTTACCACTCCTCCAATATTAGTGCAGACTGGCAGGGTATGGGCACGGGTTGCTAACGTTAGCCTAATGTGCCCTGCTACCTGCCTGGTAATGGACAATGTTCTTTTTTTATTTAATGACTTGTTTGATCGATTGATAGCGAGAAACTTAAGTAGCAACGAGTCATGAGTGTCCTCCTGACGATCACAAAAGGCTGCCTTCGGCCCATGCAAGAGAAATCACCACTGCAGAAGACTCGGCATGTTCACAGTGCCAGGCAACACTTGATGCATCTAAGCGCCAGCATACAGATGACGTATCAGGATCTTGAAGGGTTTTCCCATTTCATAGGGGACGTCTTCAACCACCACCCCTTGAAACTCTATTCCGATGGGCAAGGTGGCACTTGCAAACAAGGGCTAGGGCTAACAATATGAATGGGCTTCGATCAACTTCCTTTGTTTAGGGGAGCAGAAAAAAATCTCAGCAACGGATATCTCAAAGCCTGGACAAATACAACCAAAATGATATATGCTTAAATACCACTTAAAGTGAGGAAATAATCATTTGGATGAACTGACACTTTAAATAACCTCCATCACCCATCAGTGCCACCACTACTTAAGTTTTGCCTCGATCCTGAGAGTGCAGGAGAGACTGAAGACACTAGAGGGCAGCCAATACTCATCTATGAAGCCTGCAGTCCGGGTCTTTGACATCTCACCAGGCTGTCTGTTGCCTGGAGCTCCTCATTCAAACTGAATTACACTGTGAAATAGGATTACGTGTCAAGCAATGCAATGATTGAGCACAATTGTTGGGAGTTTGGCAGGAAAGCGGAATAAAAGGAAAATATACAAACACGCGTTCCTATTTGTCATGCTGATGTGAGTCGTCTGTGAAACGACATTAAGATAAGTCGATCTTGGGTGTCAGATGATGGGTATCTTAGCATCCACACTGCTTTTTTTTTTTTTTTTTTTTTTTTTCAAGTGAGTAAAAAATAGCAGACGCTTGTCTGGCTGTTCCCCAGAGAGTATACAGACTGAGTTATTGCCCTATAATTATGTGCAGGAGTGAAAGTGTGTGTATGAATGAACGTGCTCCGTTTTAAAAGGCGTTTTATTGTGGTTGCTGTTTCCTCAGATTGTGGGCCGGGGAGCGGATCTCCCTTTATAGGTTTGCTGTTTCCTCTCCCAGAGAGCTCCCTGATACCCTGGGCAACTGAAGAGGCTGGCTCGCATTATACAGAGACACGTTTAGCTTCAGAAATAATCTAATAAAAAAGGAAAGAAAGAGAGAGAAAGACATCAAGCAACCTCCTAAGTCGATGAGCTCATTCCCATCTTTCATCAGCATCTCCTGCATCATAATGAGCAGTGGATCTGTATGTATGCACACAGTCAGATGGGTGGGAGAGAGCAGTCGTCTTGAAGACTTCCCTGCAGCCAAACTCTTTGATGTCTCGGTCACACCGGATTGACATGGGCCTCATCTCCTCTGGTGACCCCCCTCAGCTCCGACCTTGCACCTCCAGGGGTCAGGTCCCTCAGCATTAGGCCTGTCCAGCCAATTAACCCCAGAACTGAGATCAATTAACCCTTTTACACCAGTGCAAGCAGATAACGCCACATGCATTATTAGCAGGTGCAGAAAAACCCACCAGATCAAAGGGTTTCAAATGGGCTGATCTAAGGCAAAATAGCACTGATAGAAAAGGCTCTGACCTGGTGACTGAGAGATACGGAGCAGGTCTTCTTCTGCGCCGCCTGTGAGATTGAAGAGAGCTGCAGAGAAAGACGAGCAAATGGAAAAAGGCTCAGCGAGATGGACAGAGCGAGTGAAACTCATCTAGGAGTCTAATTAAGCAGAAATGGAGCCGTTGGGAGCCAGGGGACCTGCGTAGTGATATCTTGCATTTCAGTCCATTAACCTGCTCCTAATGAACTGTGTGTTATTGGGGAAAGTCTTTATCAATCACACCCCACTGAGGTGACGGTCACTGGTTCATCAGCGCTTACAGAGTACGTCAATAGTCTTCAGCGGGGCTTTGGAACCGTGGCTGACCTGTGGGGAGGACAAACAATCTGATTGCATGAGGTGTGTGAGGATCAGGAGTGTGAAAATTCCCGTAGCTGCACCTTTAACATCCTCAATTACAGTAAGACACAGGAGTTGTTGTTGTGACAAGCACGGTGTGAAAACGGACTCAGTCTTTCCCAATCAATGATTTTCACTCACCTCCAGTGATGATTACTCTTAATGACAGGCTTGGTGATGAGAAATGACTACAGTGTTGTCAGTGGATTAGTGAGGCGAGCTGTTGTAGGCTGAACTCATGTCAGATATATTGGTTAGGGATTGGAAAATAGAGGCAGATGTACTCATACAAGTGGAACAGATGTTTATTGTGTAGCTACTGGTTATTCATTTTAATTGTTTTTTTATTTGATTGTATGCAGAATGAATTAAGTGGATGGGATCAGAGAAAGTGGCTGACAGAGAGAAGGAGGGAGATGCTGGATAGGTGGAGAGAGATAGAGATGAGGGAGGGGGGAAGAGAGAGAGAAAGGGGGGAGAGAGAAAAGAGATTCGTGGGGAGAGAAGAGGGGAGAGGCACATACAGAGAGACAGGGAGAGAGAGAGAGAGTAGAAACTGTTAAAACGTGTGTTCGCTCTTACCAGTCTCAGCATCGCTCAGTTCCTGCAGGAGGCTGCAGCTCCATCACACCAGGATCTCCACTGGCACCGATGACCAGATATGATCTACCCACTTCCCAGTCAACCCATTTCACTCTGAGCTGGGATCTCTTTCTGTTTGTTTGCATGGATGATAACAGCATACCGCATATTGATGGATTTCTCATACCACAACTAATTTGACTCAAACCCGGGATTGGTGGGGGGAAAGAGAGAAAAGACAAAAAAAGGGGGGGGTGACTCCAAGTGGTTTCCAGCGGGGTTTCTTTAGGTTTATGGAAGCTGCAGTTCAGCCTGCTTTGGACATGGGACCGTGCGTCAGCCGAGAGGGATCCGGTGCCGGAGGAAGAACATATTCCTGAAGGAGGAAAAGCCCGTGTGCGGGAGTTTTTTAATTTCTGTCTTTTTGCCACCGGGGAGGGGGAGCTGTGGGTTTTACGCGCCGGAATGATGTGTCCCAACCGCGGCTTCATCTTACTCCTCCTCAACGGAACTGCTTGTTTGGTAAGAAAAGAGTCGTAGTCTTTACGCATCTTGCTCCAAATTACCTTTTCTTATCCATCTAACACCTTGTGCCTGCGTCACGAGGTACGAAAAGGTGTCTGCACCTCATTTGCACCAAAAAACTTACAAACTCGCGATTATAAGTCGACTGAAATTGTGCGGACAGACATGTGGAAGTGATATCTGAGGCGATGCTTTATCAAAATGATAAATGAGCAGATGTGCAGGTCATTTGTGTTTCTTGCAGAGATGCAGAGATAATACTCGCCTGCTGTGCTCTGTCCGCTGCTTCCAAACGCATTTGTGCTGATGTCTGTGTTATTTTGCCTCGAACTTATAATTATGAGGTAAATAGCAGTCAGTGTGACCCTGCTCGGCTCAGGTGCGGCGGGTGCACTATATTCCCAGCGGACACGTGCGGAGCGCAGCGTGCCGCCGGTGTCCATCATCAGTGTGCTCTGATTTTTTTATCAGAGTTTTTTTACGCATCATTCTTTCTACATTATTGGATTACTATAAAGTATCTAGCTGCACATGAAAGTCAGAATTTTCACCAGAATATTTACACTAAAAGTGGACATGTGTCAGGCAGGTGTGACCCTCCACTTTTAGCTGGAGCAAGAATAAAAGGCAAAATAATGTGAAAGCTTTCAGCAGTTTCACATCTGTGCAATTAATATACTTCACTATAACTTGTATCAGCCAATTGCAACAGCATGTATATGCAAACTGAAGAAAGTGGTTAACCCTGCAGGAGCCCACACACCTGGCTTCAAATAAAAAAAATTAGACAAGACACAACATATTTTTTATCTGCTACAATCAGTTGCACCATCAGGTTGTAGGGTAATGGACATGTGGGTGTGGGACAGATCCTACAGCAAGATGATGGAGTACTTTTCATGTCAGAGATCTACAGAAAGATAAGATGAGCAGCTCTTCTTAGTAAAGTCTTTATTCTGAGGACTCGTCAGATATGTTTAAACACAGAATTTATACTGTGGCTGGTGAGATAACTTTGAACTGCAGTGAAACATCTCATTAGAATCTCTGTTCTCTAATTGAGCCAACTAATAATACATGAAGTGTTACTACAAACCTCCAGTATATATGTACATATATATATATATATATATATATATGTATATATGTATATAACTAAACCGTGATACCTTCCCCAAGGACCCTCACTGACCTATGACACCAGATGTGTAAACACGAACCATTTCCGCAGTCTTAATGAATACCTCCAACATTACATAACCACACTATCAAAATTTGGATCACCCACTCCTCTTTCATGTACGCTCGCAGATTTATTAAAAAGCAGACTTTAATGAGAAATCAGCTCTTGATTCACATGAGAAAACTTTAACACCCTTCTGCTCGGAAACCCCTGGGCTGAGTTTCACAGGCCCAGGAAATGAGCAAGCTCCAAAAAACACATCAGTGTGGCAGCAATATTCAAGCGAGGTTGAGTGTGTTTTTTTCTGTGCACCCGTTTGTGTCGGCATCCCTTCAAGGATGACCTTGTGGTTTTCATATTAACGTATTATTCAGGTGCTCACGGGGAAGTAATGGCCCTTTTGGTGATTTGAGGGTCTAACAGACAGGGGTTGTAAAAGACTAAACACACACAGATTTATTTAGAGCTCTTTCAACAGATCTGAGAGAGAGAAGGGACCACATGCTGTTTTAAAATATGGGGGATGAGCGCCTTTTCAGCCGTTGTATAACTAGATACAAGAGTGTGGGATAATAGGCTTAACACTCACTCTTGTGTTGTCTTGGTTGTGGGAGCATTTTTTGTGAGCTGCAGGGCTACAGCCTATTGTAACCCAAAAGGTCTGTGGCTAATGATAATGAAATTAATTGGGGCCTTTTTCTCCCTCTCCAGACCATGTATCTATGAAAAACGTACATGACATCCCTCAGCAGGAGATCTGGGGTAATTCATTAGCCCCGTGACATTGATAAATTATGGAGCAATTAATAAATTAAGTAACTTTTTATTATGCTACAGAGTAGTGATTAATAATCGCATAAGCCTACTATGCATTAAAATTCAATTTGGATGATTTTCTGTTGTAATAGCTCCGCAATTCTCAGAGAGGGTTTAGGTCTCGAGGGGCCTCTTGCAAATGACTGCTAATATAGACTACTATTAACACTAGGTGCCACTCTGATTGTTGTTTATGTGATGAATGATGTGTTTCAAATGTTAATTATTCTCTGTATTTGAATAGAGGGTTATGAATAATATAAAACCATCTCAGTTGTATAATTGACTGCTTGAGAAATTGTGTTTATTTTTGGCAGCAGTGAGAATTATTTTTCTTCTGTGATGCTCAACAGGCTGACGGGGTTTGTTTAAGTGAGCTAAGTGGCTGATGTGCATGTATCAGGAGGATAATAAGGAGGGTAGTTTGATATTTAGTGTCCTTTCGCTGTCGGTGTGATTAGCGGTCAGCTGTTGGTTAGAAAGAGCCAATATGTTTAATATAGCTGCAGCTAACAATTGTTTTCATTATAGATTAATTTGCATTTTATTGGCATGAGTAAGTGATTCATTATTTGGTTTACGACACTTCAATTACTGTGAAAAGTGCTCATGTGCAAAAGCAGCAAAGTGTCACATTTAGGAATCAGGAGACATCAAAATTACTTCAATGATTAACCGATAATCAAAGTAGTAGTTGCTCGTACAGTAAGTAGGGCTGCCACTAACGGTTATTTTCATTGTCAATTAATCTGTTGATTATTTTCTCGATTAATCAGTTTGACGTTTTCTCTATAAAATGTCAGAAAATGGTTTTGTCATAAAGGAGTAAAGACACCAGAAAATATTCACATTTAATAAACTGGAATTCAGAGACTTTTTTTTCTTTCCTCAATAACCACTCAAACCGATCAATCAATTATCAAATTAGCTGGCGATGAAATTAATTGTTGACACTTAATCGGCAGCTCTAATGATAAGTCACTTAATGGTTTAATCGTTTCAGTTCTAATGTGAAAGTTACAGTCTTTGTAAGGACGTAATTCATCACTTAACAGATGCAGCAGATGCGAGCGCCAAGGAAAGACAGGTGGCTCTACAAGATAAGTTGACACAGAAAACAGAGCAGGTACAGAGTAGTGATGGAGGAAGTGAGAGGAGGTGTAGAGAAAGTGCTAAAAAAAGGAATGAGTTAAACATCTGCCTCAGAGGTTTACACACCTCATTGACAGTCCTCGCAAGATTCTTTCTTCCCTTTGCACAAAAGCATCCAAAGAAAACACACTTAATCCGCATATAATTACGACTGCAGCAGTGTGGCTGAACCGTGCTCAGCACAAGGTTGACAATCTGAATCCCCAGACCAGCCGGTGAAAAATCTGGGAGGGGTGAGGTCAACCATCTGAATAACTACAAGCAGGAGAATGAAGTGCAGCAGAACAGGGCATTGAACTCGTCTACCCCAGCGAACTGCAGACTTTCTCCACTGCAATTGCTCCAAAATCACTCACACTGTTCCCAGAAGAACATTTTTGCTCTTAATCAACATGCCTGGTCATTTCAGATCGGTTTTAATCATAATTATAATTTCGCTCAACAAGGAGACATAAACTTGTGCGCTTAAAACACACGCACACCCACAAAAGAGCCCATTAATTAAGGAATTCTGACCTTGCATGTGCTGTAACCTTCATGTGGTAAAGATCGGCGGGGATGCAGGAGCTCGACTCCTCATGCGCTCTCACGTTGAGCTCACAGCTGCTCTTTCACACAAGAATTTTTCTGGAAGGGATGAGCCCTCAGGTAGCCTCCTCTGTGGCCATGAGAGACAGGATGGCTTTATACTCCCTCTGATTGCTTTCAGTGCAGACGCAGACGCTGACCATCGCGCTTGATAGCTGAATTTCACCTCTGTAGCCCTGCTCAGAATGTCACTTTTTGCAGATTGAATTTCGCTGGAGACATTCATACATATTCCAAGGTTTTTGTACGGAGGCAATTCGAAAATATAAAGAAAGCATGTCACTCGTATGAATTCATGAAAAATCTAACCGGTGCTGTCACAGCATTTAGTTTCCCACTCCTAAACTTGTACCTCCACCCTCTATTTGACTTTGCCATCAGCAAAGAAACTTATTCAACACAGCACGTCAATTAAAAACAAATTACAAGTTCTTACATTGAGAGCTTCACAGAGCCACAGTCCCTTTCATGACAAAGACAGGATTGTGATTAGGCTGCACAGAGAGCACCACAGCAAAGGGACACTTGAAACACAATGTAGCAGCACCACAACTGAGACAACAAAAGGCGCAGCAATCTAAGCACAACGGCCTGTAGTTTGCCGGGAACTCCACCAGACAGCATGGTGCAACAATGCACAGACACACACTGTGCAAACCTTAATATCTGTGTGTAAGATTAAAAAGCAGAGGCTGCCTGGCGCTAATTCTAACCACATCAGACTCCTGTCTGCGTTTTGGCCTGTCACAAAGCCTTAGATTCATGCTTCTTAGATACCTGTCCTCCTCGCAGGGTTGCTGACCTTGTCCACCCAGATACATCCCCGGCTAAGCAGAAATACCACCCTAATCCTGAGAAAACAAATAGAAAAAAACTCTCTCTGATAAAGCATATATTGCACGCAGACACAAATGTGAGACAGCAGCAGCAGAGTGAATGCTAATTTATTTTTTTGGGAGGGGGCTTTCTCGCTCTCCTGAGCCTCCCTCCTCGCCATCACTGTTGCAATCTGCATGTCAGAGCTCATAAGCTTCTACTCTACACCTCACATCCCACACAGACGCAGGAAACACAAAACCCATTCATAATTGTCAAATTTCTATTATAAAGGAGGGTTCGGCTGCAGAACCACAGTGGAAGCAGACAGAACAGTTTATTGTGACGGTGACATGTGTCGTGTACTTTCCACCATAAGGGGGTTGCACAATAATTTGCACTCCCCTTGTTAGCCATTGTTAGGATGATTGCAATATAGCTT